TACTTGGCAGATTATAAGGCAGAGTGGCTCATGGCAGAGAGCTACAGCTCAGGGTGGCAGACAACAGCAAAAGCAACCAGCACACACCAGGCTGAATGGGGGAGGAATCGCCTCAAGCACTCTCTTCCTCTCCCTTACATATGCAAACTATCCACCTTAGGGCAGGTGCAGTTCTCACACCCTTAATCAAACTCTAATAGCCTGACTCTTGGCAGCATGAGGCTTTGGGGGGACACACAGACATAAACCATAACAGTAGCTGAGGATCAAGTGAGATTAAACAGTTGGAGCACTGAACAGGATACAACAGAAGACAGTGGCTCATGCCCCACAAGTCACCTAATTAGAATCATAACATTGTGGAAGGGATGTAGCTATTGGAAGCCCACCATCAGGCCTTAAGAAGGGCTATTTGTTGTTGCTCACTGCCCTACAGATGTAAACAAAGTGGCCAAAGTGCATCAGGGTCCAACTGAAAACCCCAGAATTTTCCTCAGGTGGCTCCTAAAGGCCTATCAGACATACACTCCATTTGATCCACAGGCACCTGTGAATGCTTGCATTGTTAATACTGCTTTTGTTACCCTGTGGGCCCCTGATATGTACCACATGTTACAGAAACTGGATAGGTTTGCAGGGATGACTATGACTCAGTTGATTGAGGTGACTCAAAAGGTGTTCCATAATAGGACAAAAAGTGGAGACTTCAGAAAGAACAGATGAGAGTGTCATTGGTGGCTTACAAGGAAGGGACTCAGCCAGGGACTGGAGAAAAAGGAGAGGACAAACGGCCTCAATGGGGAGGATGCTGCACTCCTCTAGATCCCGACCAGTGAGCCTCTTGCAAGGAGAAGGGACATTTCAGGTGAGAATGTCCAAAACTGCTGGAAAAGGAAAAGAAGGAAGTGTTTGTGATAGATTCAGGGGAAGTTTCAGAATGATGGGGTCATGGGTCTCTGTCTTTTGGCCCCAGGAAACCCATCTTAACTGCAATATTAGGGTGAAAGCCTATTAGATTTTTGGTAGATACTGGTGCAGACCTATTGGTAGTTGCAGAGCTGATAGCCCCACTCCTAGGTCAGAAAGTATATGTTCAAGGGGCAATGGTCAAACTTCGACATATTCTTTTTGTGAGCCACAACAGGTTCAGCTTGGATGACAAGTAGTTAGTCAGTCCTTTGTGCTTATGCCTGACAGTCTCTTTCCCCTCCTGGGATGAGATCTTTGCAAGCTAGGGGCCAAAATTTCTTTCATATTTAAGGAACTATTTTAACTACAGGAGAAAAATCCCCATTAAAGGCTCATGTTTTGACTATTACTTTACATAGGCAGGAGGAATACTGCCTTCTGGACTCCCATATGTGAGGGCAATCTGTTCTCCCTTCTTGGACACAACATTTCCCCAAGGTTTGAGCTGAAGGCAATCCTCTTGGTTTGGTGACGCATGTGCCCCTGGTTATAGTAGAGTTGGTAGGGCATGCAAAGCCAGTTCACCTGAGATAGTACCCAGTGGCTATGGAAGCCAGGAGAGGGAGTAAGCCCCTTATACAGAGATTGCTGAAAGCAGGCATATTAAGAGAATTCCAGTCTCCATGAACTACGCCTTTCCTGCAAGTTCATAAGCCTGGTACAAATGGATATTTCCTGGTCCAATACTTACAAGCCATCAAGGCCTTGGTAGTTACCCCTCACCCTTCTGTACCTAAACTCTACACTTTGCTCTGTTTGCTCCCACCTACCCAAATCTGGTATACTGTGTTACCTAAAAGGTGCTTTCTTCTGTGTTCCCTTGTCTGGTGCATCATAAGAATTGTTTGCTTTTGAATGGGAGGAACTGGAGGCAGGGGATGAAAGTGCCAATTAACTTGGACAAGGCTCCCTTAGGCATTTAAGAACTCCCCAGTGATCTTTGGGAAAGCCCTATCCAGTGCCTTTTAGCTTAGAAAACCCTCCAATAACTTTATTACAGTGTGTTGATTATTTGCTTCTGGTAGTTGAAACACGGGAGCTCTGCCAACAAAAACAGACTGTTGGAATTGCTGTAGGATAAAGGGTACTGTGTTTCAAAGAAAAAGGCTCAAATTTGTGTATAAACTGTAAAATTTCTTGAGTTTGTGCTAAAGGATGGGACTCACTCCCTGTCAGCCTCCTGTACCCAGGCCATACAGGACTTAAAGGAACTTCATCCAGGAAAGACTTGAGGGAATTCCTGGGGACAGTTGGATACTGTTGCCTTCGGATTCCCAATTTTGCAGCCATCACAAAGCCCTTATATGATGCTTTCAAAGGCAGCAAAGGCCCCCCACCAGTAGAGTGGAACCCTGAAACCCAAACAGTCTTTGAGATTCTGAAAGAAAAGCTGGTAAGTCCTCCTATGCCGGCAACATCCAACATTACCAAAGCATTCTAACTGTTTGTACTTGAAAAAGAAGGCATTGCTCAGGGTGTCCTAAGTCAGACTCTAGGATCCTGGAAGTGCCCAGTGGCATATTTGTCCAAAAGACTATGTGGCAACCAGGTGCCCCCCCTGCCTGTATACCCCTCATGACCATCATTATAGTCAAAGAAGATGGTAAACTGACTTTGGGACAAAAGCTAACTGTGTTTGTTCCCTGTGCAGCAGAGACCTTGCTGAAGGGAACTGGTGGTAAGTGCCTGTTGGGAACCAGACTGGCCCACTACCAAGGGACTCTTTTGAAAGATCCCTGACTGGCTATTAAAACAATTCAGGCCCTCAGTCCTGCTTCTCTTTTGCCTATGTCCCTGGAGTTGCCTGAGCATGACTGTATGAAGTGATTCAGACAATCTACTTAGCCTGACCAGACCTACAAGACATGCCCCTCCAGAACCCTGACCTGAGCCTGTTTTCAGACAGCAGCAACGTGATAACCAATGGAGTTTGGAGGGTGAGAGTGGCTGTCATCACCACTGAATGGATTGTTCAGTCTGAGGCTTTGCCTCCTGGGACAGCTGCTCAGAGGGCTGAGCTAATCACTCTCACTTCATCCCTAGAGGTAGGGAAGGGTAGGTGAGTAACCATCTATACTGATTCCCTGCTATGCATTTGCCACCCTAAATGTGCATGGTGCTATCCACAAAGAGAGGGGCTTATTGACTACAGGGGGAAAAGATATCAAAAACTCCCAAGAAATTTTAAGCCTCTTACAGGCTATTTGACTGCCTGCCAAAGTTGCTGTGATCTATTTCCCTGGGGACCAAAAGGGCAATTTGATGGAAGCTCAAGGAATCTAATAGTGGACTTGGCAGCCAAGCAAGCCATCACTGGAGAGTTGCTTCCAGCGGTCTGGGCCTTAGTGGCTCCATTTGTCAAGCCATCCAAGTATTCAGAAGCAGAATTAAAATGGGCCAGTACAAAGTGGGCCACAGAGAAAAATGGGTGGCACATCCTGCCCAGAGGAACAGTGTTCCTCCCTGAAGTTTTAGGACATTTTGTGATACAGGAGTTGCATAGCCATACTCAGGAAAGACTACCATGGCAGAATTAGTAGGCTGCCACTTCTTTGTTCCCAGACTGTGGACTTTGTGTGCTTTGGTGGCTGCCAGGTACACAGCCTGTGCACATAACAATCCAGTTGCTCACCCTCAACAACAACTGGGCCTCTGAAGGCAAGGACTTTGCTATTTGAGGATGATGAAGTAGACTTTACTGAAATCAAACCTACGAGTGGTAAAAAAAAGCATTTACTGGTTTTGATCTGCACCTACTCCGGCTGAGTGGAAGCCCTCTCCACTAGGCCTGAGACATCTAGAGAAGTGGTAAAAGCCCTGATGGAGCTGATTATACCCCAGTATAGGCTCCCCATGATGATAGGTTCAAATAATGGAACTGCTTTTGTGGGTAGAATAATCGAAAGTTTGTCAGAAGCCCTGGGGCTAAAATAGAAGCAGCTTACAGCCTACTGATCACAGAGTTCTGGCCAAGTGTGGGGACAAAACCAAACTCTAGAAAGCACCCTAGCCAAGCTCTGCCAAGAAACTGGACCTAACTGGGTGATTATGCTTCCAGTGGCCCTCCTACAGTCTCGATGCACCCATACTGAGATGGGGTAGCTCCATTTGAGATAATATTTGGGAGGCCTCTCCCACTTTTGCTTATTCTGGAAGGACTACAGGAGATGGAAACTCATGAAAGCCTTGCAGCAGACTTTAAAGGATCTGCAACAGACTGTGCTATGACATCCCATCTTGATTTATTCTCCTGTTCATTCTTTTGAGCCAGGAGACAAAGTTCTAGTTAAAACTTTGAAAGAGGAGTCCCTCCAGCCAAAATGGGAGCATCTTCATGAGTTAATCCTAACCATTCCAACTGCTCTTAAAGTTATAGGTTGTGCTCTGTGGATTCACCACTCCTGAGCCAAGGGGTGGATGCCTGAGCTGCTGGCGGAACAGATACAGCCACCTGCACCTGAGACTACTGCATGGTAATATTCCCAGAAACTCTAGCAAAAGTTCATGGTGACCTGACCAACATCGTGACTCCTATTGTGATTTTCATCCTGTACAGCTTTCTTCCAGGACTGATCAAGGGAAAAACAATGTACTCCTACACCATAACCAGACACCCTCAGGCTGCAGTCGTAGTTGAGACTTTATATCCTGGTAACATGCCTGATAATATTAAAGTAGACCTGACTTTCCCCCAATGCAAACTTTAGCTGGTGGGAGTGTCCTAATAGAGGTGAATTTACTATGTGCTTCATTGAGAAAGAGAGACTAAATTGGGACCACATTGAGGAGATAGTAACAAGCAGGTTCTACCTTTGCCCAGAAGCCCTGAGAAACTGTAATGACAAAAATGAATGGTAGTGTCCACTGTCTTGGTTACTTTTCTCTCATTGTTGAGACAAAATACCTAATGCCTACAAATAAGGACAGCTTTATTTAGCTCACAATTTGTGGAGGTTTCAGTCCATACTTGACTGTCTCCAAGGAAGAGTGGCTCATGGCAGGGGGAAACAGTTCATGGCAGCAGAGAACAGCAAATGCAGCAAGAACAAAAAGGGAGAAGTGGCAGCAGGCAAGCCTCTTTCCCTCCCTTATATTGTATGCAGGCTCCTCACCCAAGGGCAAGTGTACCACTCACACCCATAATCCCAGCACAGTGCCATGAATCAGTCATAAACGCTAGAAGCCTACCCTGAACTGCATGAGGCTTTGGGGGGATATCCAGACTCATTCTGCCCCTGGCCACCCGAAGACTCATGTACATCCCTTTATGTAAAAGATGTTTAGTTCATCTTTAAGAGTTGCCAGAGTCCTAACAGTCACAGCACTGGTGAAAATCCAAGCCCCAAATCTCCAAGATGTAAGGCAAACTGTTATTGCAAGCCCCTATACAAATGAAAAGTTAAACACTTTCAACATTGAATGGCACAAGATAAACATTACCATTCCAAAAGGTAGAAACAGGAATAGAAAGCATTGAGACCAAAGCAAGTCCAACATGCAGCAGGGCAAACAAGTCCTGTGGTTCTATATTCAACATCTGAGGCAATCTGGCAAATTGTGAGCTCCATGTGGCTCCACATCAGTGGCACTTCTGGTGGTTGTAGCTCCCATGGCTTCTCTCTTAGACCTGTTCTGCTCAATCTTTGCAGCTTTCCTTAGATGATCCACGTTCCTGGTTTTTCCAAATTTCTGGGTTTCCACTGCACCTTTGGCTTCACACTCATATCTTCACACATTGCCCTCTCAGAGGCACATAACCTGCCTCCCAGGCCTTCTGAAATCTAGGTGGAAGCCTTTTTAACCACAGAACTCTTGCATTCTGCATGCACCTAAAACCAGCACCTTGTAGATAATGCCAAGGTCTTCTGTCAGCTGGAACAGTAGCCAGGCTTTCTTTTTCCTTGGCTGTAGGGCTTGAATGCTTGGATCCCTGAGCACTCTGAACCTGATTCTGAGGAACAAATTCACTGTTCCGCCACTATTCTGGCACATGGTGCAGCCACCACCGCTCTGGCTCATGGTACAGCCTCCAACATTCTGGAAAATGGTACTCTGCAGCTTTCCCCTCAAAGCAAAGTCTCAACTTTGCAGGTTTGAGGCTGCAAAGGGTGGTGTTATGGTTTGTGTTTGGATGTCCTCCCAAAGCCTCATGTAGCCCTCATGGGGAGGGCTACTACAGTTTATGATTGATTCATGAGTGTGAGTGGTATACCCACCCTGGGGCAGGTAGTTTCCATACAGTGCAAAGGAGGGAAAGAGGCTGCTTGCTGCAGCCCCTCCCATTTTGCTTTTGTTGTTTTTGCTGTTGTCTGGTGCCATAAATTGTTACCTGTGCCATGTGCCACTCTGCCTTGAAGCCAGCCAAATATGGATTGAAACCTCCACAAACTGTGAACTAAATAAACATTCCCTTCTTTAATTTTGGGCATTGGGTATTTTGTCTCAGCAACAAGAAAAGTAACTAAGAAGCAAGTGGAGACTTGCTTCTTCCTGTGATGCCCCCAGGCCATCTTTTCTATTCTCCTGTTCCTTCTCTGCAATTGAGATCTCCTCAGCTCTATCTTTGCAACCAATAGCTAATGAAGCATCCTTTCTGGCCAAACTCACAACATTTTAAGTCATCCTGCTGGACTCTTTTCTCTTGATTCTTAACATAAATCGGGCTAAAAACCCCCAACAGTAGCCATGCCACAGCCTCAACATTCAAATGCCTTGTAATTTCTTTTGTCAGATTAATCAGTCTGCTGCCCTTAATCTCAGTCTCAGACAGAGTCTCTGGACATGAGCAAAATGCAGACAAACTTTTTGCCAAGCCATAACACAGATCATCTGCACTCCGACAACCAATGCAGTTCTTCCCAGCAGAAACCTCCTGCACCCAGTCTGTACTGGCAAGATTTTTATAAGCCTTCTGGTCTTCTAAGCTCTGACCAGAATCTCCCATACAGAACAAGCAAAGGTGTTCTAGCACTTTTCTTTCAGGTGAAATCTCCAAACCTTTCCAAACACTTCCCACAAGCCATTTCCAAAGGCTCTTGAACCACATGGTCAGGTATAGTCTCAGCTATGACCCCACTCCTTTCGTACAAAATTCTGGCCTGGTTACTTTTCTGTCATTATTGATACAAAATTCCTGATGCCTAACATTAAAGAAGGGAATGTTTATTTAGCTCAGTGTTTGTGGAGGTTTCAGTTCATATTTGGCTGGCTCCATGGCAGAGTGGCACATGGCACAGGGCAACAGTTCATGGCAATAGAAAATAGCAAGAGTAGTAAGTGCAAAAGGGAGGAGGGGCAGGTGGCAAGCCCCTTTCCCTCCCTTACATTGTATGCAGAGTCCCCACTCCATGGCAGGTGTACCACTCACACCTATAATCCCAGTATTGGGCCATGAATCAATTATAAATTCTAAAAGCCTGCCCCATGACTGTATGAGGATTTGGGGGCACATCTAGAGACAAATCATAACATCCACCCTGGGGATGTGAAACTATAGGACATTATGGGGATTGATATGAAAAAGAACTACCAGAAAAAGAAAAGTGGTGGATCCAAAATGATAGACAACTTATAGCTGAGAAATACCTAGTCCTGCACTATGTTCATGGGCTAGACACCCCTTTTTGCATGAGGGTTCATATCACACTCAAAGACCATGAAAACCCCAGATGGTTAACAGGGCAAACATGGGGTGTCTGGATGAGCAGACAGGGCACTAGAGGTGGAGATCCTGGCATTCTGATCACCTTTAAAAGACTATATTAGTGCCTAAGTCCCCAGTTAACCCTTTTCCTGCAGCTTCACTTGAAATACACATACAGCTGGAAAAACATCAAATTCCAAAAATAGAACAGGTACCCACTTCTAACAAAACAGCCTTGAGGGTTGACCTGTCTCAACTGAGTTTGCAAGCTGGCATTTATGAAATGTTAAACAAAGCTCACTATGTACTTAATCTCTCCAATCCTGAGCTTGCAGAGTGTTGTTGGATGTGCATAAAGCCCAGGCCACCATTTTATGAGGCATATGCCTCCCCGGAAAGCCTGATCCCCTGTGAGCTCAAATGCAGCCCACAGGAAGAAAATATCCTTCCTTTACTCTTGATAGAAACCACATATGGACAAGGTCTATGAGTAGGCAGTGGAACTTATCAACCGCCATGCAACCAGACTCTGCCCCTGACCCAGGTCTATTAGGCTCCTAAGGAGACCTGGTTCATATGTCCTGCTGGATTACTTATGTGTGTATGTAGGGAGCAATGAATCTTAGCATACTATTTTAGATAAAATAGTTTTGATAAAAGCCTGCATGGTGCCTCAGGAAGCCTCCCGGGACAGTGCAAGCGCTAATTCCCCAGATCAACACTGCCCAGGAATGTTTCCCCAAGATAAGGGGGTGCCTAGGCCTAGGTGACCCTCCGTGACCCTGCCTGGGCAGTGCCATCTCCTGGCCCTAGGTAAACATTGTAACCCTAAAGGAATGCATAGGTTGTAAAAAAGGAGATAATGGGGGAAACATCTATCATGGTTTGACACTCGAACTGCAACTGACCTGGGGTCCAGCGGGATGAGAGAAACACCATATGCCCACCGGGGTCAGAGAATGTAACACCCCAATCTGTTGTCAATGGAAACCAAAATGTATATAAGGTGAAACAAAGTTAGCCATGGGCCCCCGCTTCCAGATTGGCAAAGGAAGTGAGGGTGTCTAGCCTCAAATTAAACTCTGTTTTGTTCTCAATAAATGGGTTTTTTCTTGTGGAATACAGCCCAATTGGTGCCAGGGAATTTCTGCCATAACATGTAGATATAAAGTATGGAGGACATAGACCCTGTCTCTTAGTGCTAATGCCTCCCAGGGTGTCAGCTCTACTGGGAGAAGAGGAATTTAGACAGTTTCCTTTATATAAACAACATTAGGTCTGAAGAGCACCCCAGGGAGTCCTTCCAGTACTGTTAGGAGTGAGCCTGGCAGGATCTGTTGGTATGGGTGCCAGAGCTTTGCTTCACACAGAAATGGGACTACAGGGAATTTCAAGCCTGGCTCACTCCATAGACAATGTGTCTGGGGTCCACAACATGGTTCAAAGATTACATGACCAAATAAACTCACTGGCAGTAGTACTACACAATCGGAGGGGACTAGACCTCCTTTTTATGGAACAAGGGGGGCTATGTACAGCCTTGGGGGAAGAATGATATTTCTCTGCTAACCAATCAGGAGTCATAGTTGAGATTCTAAATAGGATAAGACAAGGGATAGATGAACAAGCATGAAACAGAATAAAACAACCAGGGCTGGCATGAACAACTGCTTTATTGGAAAACCTGGTTAACTTCCCTGGTCACCAGGCTAACTGGCCCCCTCTTATAATAATTGTGATACCTTTGGGCCATGTTTAATTCATTGGACGAAAAGTAGACTTCAAAGCACTGTAAATCAGGTACAGATGATGGTCCTGATGAACCACCAGCATATGAAGGATTATATGTATCCTAAATAAGGAAAATATGTCCTTGAGGGGGGAATGACATGGCTAAAGTGACTCCATTTGAGATATGTGATAAATATTTTAAAACACATAGACTTATAAACCTGTGAGCACGAGGCCAAGTTGATCTCCTTGAACTGTGTTTTGCCTTTTTTTAATAGTTAAGTATTTTGTAAACTGTATTATACAGTATTCTTTCAGGGGATACATTGCTATCAACCTATAGTAACATGAAAATATAAGCAATAAGTTAAATACGCATAATGCAGTGCACATTATATAGTTTTCTCTAGCCTTAATTATGCTTAGACATATAAATTCTCAGTTGGGTAGTATAATCTAAAATTGTATCTACTGTATATCTGAAATATCAGAGATAATTCATGGAATGTAATACACTGTGGAACATGTGGTTAAATTCCCTGCAGCTCATTTATGTTTTTTACCATTACTAGGAAAATATATAGTTTATATTGGTATGATTATTCCAGCCAGTGCTGGAATGGTTAAAATATCTTATTATTATTAAGTTCATTGGTAAAATTTAGCAACATATGATAATGACATTCATCATTGTCTTGGTTACTTTTCTCTCATTGCTGAGACAAAATACCCAACACCCAAAATGAAGGAAGGAAAGGTTTATGTAGCTCACAGTTTGTAGAGGTTTCAGTCTATACTTGGCTGGCTCCGAGGCAGAAGGTAGCAAAGCAACAAGAGCAAAGGGGGGAATGACAGCCAAACAGCAAAGCAGCCAGAGCAAAAGGAGGAATGGCGGCAAGCAGCTTCTTTCCCTGCCTTACTTTGTAAATAGGCTACCCCCACCTAAGGGGCGTGTGGCTCTCACATAATCTCCATGCCCTCCTCTTCCACAGGCTCAGGATGTATACAAAGTAAGCACCCTGGCTTCCTGCTGAGTCACTTAGCCAAACCTCTAGACTCCCCAAGTTGACACAATGTTTCAACCATAACAATCATATAGAATTTGTACCTGTACATGATATATATTGGTGCCTATATTTTCCATTCCGTTTGGTTCCATTCAAATCTTTCTCCCTTCCTTATCTATAGTTTATTTCCACTTTATCCATTTTCTCATTTTTTTGTATTCTCTTCCTTTGTTTCTCGTCCATCCCTTGTTCCACTTTCTTTCTGTAAAATTTCTTATTAATTCACAATATCTGTTATACATTTTGATTCTTATTTATACTTTCAGTTTCTCACACCAGAGAGACAATGCAGTATTTACACACGTGTCTGATTTATTTCATGTAAGAATATGGTCTCAAGGGCAATCAGTTTAGCTATAAACGTGTTGTTTATCATTACTTATGGGTGAATCGTACTCCATTGTATAAAAAGCATCATTTTTATCAATTTATCACTTGATGGATTTTGGATATATTTTTAAGAATTAGTTATTACAAACTGTGCTGCTATAAACATGGGTGCACATATATCACTGTGCTATCATACTTTTAATTCTTTTAGAAAGATACCAAGAGTGGAATAGTGGGTCAAATGAGAACACTAGCCTTAGTTCTTTGAGGAATCTCCACATTAATTTCCACTGTGCATGTGTAATATGGACAATATCTTAAGTTTACGAGTGTTTACACATAGTAAAGTAAGACAAATACAATTATATATGAGATGTTACCACTTTTATAAATTTGAGTAAGTGAAAATTAAATTAACATAAAATCAGTAGTAGCCTGAGGAAATGGTGAAATAAAGGAAGTTCTCAGAAGGAAAAGTTTCACAGAGCTAAAGAAGAATTTAATGGATTTAATTTATTCCATGTCTTGACAATGATGATGATGTCAAAATTTAACAAATTGTACATTTTGTGTCAAAAGATACATCATTAATCATTAAAGCTATTACAAACAAAAAGAGATAATTTTCTACGAGAAAAAGCTTGTCGTTTTTCCATCTTTAGAGGAAGAGGTCTGGAAATATCACTGTGTATGTCCTCTTCGTCTGGGACTTGATCAGGCACAACTGAGAAGTGTAGACAGGGCTTAGCGCCAAGTACAAGGAATACTTTCTTTTTCGGATATAAAATATTAAAGATATCACATAACTTTTTTATGCCTCTGACTTTTCATGGATAAATGTAAAAATGAAATCACATAAAAATGAACCAATGCATTATTAATGTGCATGTGTAGATAAACTAATGAGTGTTATCTATTTATTACAATAAAATATATAGAAGGCATAATTTCATTAATATGATGAATGTCCCAATATGTCTCTGAGAACAGTCACATCTCGGCGGGCACAGCTCTCTATGAAGTCTCCAACCAGAGCGGGCTGTGTACCAAGAGGTCGTGGGAACAGGGTCTTCCTCCGCTCATGAAAACCAGCCCAGCCCTGTCCCTGCTGTTCTTCAGAGGAGCTCAGCGCTGAATGGCAGGTGTTCCCTCTTGGGATCAGGATTGAACACAGAGGCTCGCCGTTGAGGTTGGGTTGAACTGCGTTTTTCTTTTTGCTATTTTAAAAGGTAATTCATGTAGAACAAGAGGTACTGCGTGCATTAGTGGATATAAATGGGATAAACAGTGGACACGTGGCAGTTTCCTGAGCAGGATGTCTCTGTGTTTGCAGGTGTCCAGTGTGAGCTGCAGCTGGTGGAGCCCGGGGAGGCTTGCTGCAGCCTGAAGGGTCCCTGAGACTCTGCGGCCTCTGCATTTACCTTCAGTGATTACTGCTGTGAATCAGGTCCATCAGGCTCCAAGGAAGCACCTGGAATCGGTTGATCTTGTTGCAAAAAGAAACAAAGATAACAGATACACGAAAGAATACTCCACATCTGTGAAAGAAAGATTCACCATTTCTAGAGATGAGTCCGAAAGCATTGCCTATCTGCACGCAGAAAGTCTGAGTACCAACAACGCTGCTGTGTATTGCGTGCCAGAGACGGTGAGGAGACCTCAGTGCAAGCCCACACATACCTCCCTGCAGCGGCGCTCGCGGCCAGCAGGGGGCGGTCAGGACACACCGAGTTTAGAATTAACCGTGAGGCAGGTGCAAGGGGTTTGGGGATTGGAAACCGTTAACAGCTGGTTGCCCGTCGGAGTCTAATCTGCCTGTCCTTCTAATATTTCCCCAGAGAACAATTTTAAGTGTATATCCTGTTCCTATCACTGACTTCTCTGAATTGGGCGTGTTTTCTGGGGAAAAGCCTATGGGGAAAGAATATGGGGACACATTCTCATCTGCATGAAAGTCCCTGAGTTTCTTATGGAAGCAGAAATGAGTCCACTGTCAGCAAGATCAAATCCTAAGGAGCGCAGGGGAACTTGGTGAGTCTTTTCCAATCAGACTCAGGACAGAGATCTCTGGGGTCCTCAGATTGGACAAATTTGAGAATTTATATTAAATCTACTGGGCTGTTGATATGATGGTCATGTCCTGTACTCTATGATGTAGTTTGTGTCAGAGCAGTCTCAGCAATGGTGGAGGTCCTCTTTGACTGCAAATCCATGCCATCTATCCCATGGTTTTACTAAAAAATCTCATGGGTATCTCATTCTCCTTGAAAGTGGAAGCTATTCCGGGTGTAGGTGCTCATGCTTGTAATCCCAGCACTCGGGAGGCTAAGGCAGGAGGATTGCTGTAAGTTCGAGGCCAGCCTGGGCTATATAGTTAGTTCAGGGGCATCCTGAACTATATAGCAAGACCCTGACTCAAAAAAACAAAAAAAAGAAAGTGGAGGCTGGGTTCTCTGGTCTTAATCCCAGGGCTCATACCCTTGATCTGGCACTCAGGTGTGGCTCAGGCAATGACCCCGCAGGGACCTGGTCAATGCCAAAGGACTTTCTCAGTAACCATTGTCCAGGTCCCCGCTCCAAGGCAGACATGTCATGGTGAAATGTCCTGGTGATGAAAGGCTGCTTACCTGGTTGCAGTCAGGAAGCAGAAGGAGAATGGATGAGTCTGTGACAAGTGTGCACCCCTTGCCCAGAGACCAGACCCACAGACTGGGCCTCACCTTCAAACACAAGACTTTCAGGGACATTTTAGATCCAAACCATAATAACCATCTGCACAGTGCCCCCAAGTGACACCTGCACCTATATTTAACTTAATCACAGGCCAGGATGGTCCAGACTTGTCCATACATGACACTGATCATTGTCATGGTTATTTTAAAACTTATGCTAACCAAGCTCTTTTTATTAGTAAATTGGCTAAAATGTTTGTTATTATTTGTCTTCTGATAAACACTAATTCTTGGGTAATCTTGTGATCACTGTTTACAGGAAATTTTCACCCTTTTGAAGACAAATTCAGAGTAACAGGATAGGTCTAGGAGGCCATAGTGAACATATGAGCCTGGGTTGAGGAAAGGGCAGAAAGATACACACTATTTGAGGGGACTTGATTTAATTCTTGGAAAACTTAGCAGAGTTTACTTCTGAATCTAACTGGTCTTGGGTTTTTTTCTTTTTTCAATCAGTAACTAAATGTTGTTATTCACAGTTGGTCTATGGAAACTTTATACTTCTTTATCGTTTTATTCTTTTCAGAATGAATGTCAAGTGAATCATTCATTTCTGTTAGGTTACAAAATTTATTTGTGCAAAATTATTTGTTATATGCTATATAAAAAGTACACATATATAAAATATATGAAATCATTCATTATGTAATGTATATTGTTTTATTTATTATATTTTACATATTTATATGTTAATAAAGAAGTACATATTCAAAATATACAGAGTCATAAAAGAATACAGACTTCATGAAAAGAAAAATAATATGATGTTCTTTCAAAGGTGTTAAATTGAAAGGTTCTTTCAATGGTGATATATTTTTATGGTGGACTCTAGAAGGTGTCATATATTACTGAAAACCCAGTGCTCTCCCGTCTGTTAGAGAAGAAATAGAAAGTGCATGGGCAGTAATCTCAATGACCAAGGTTATCCAAGCAACATTTCACCATACTAATAAATGTCTGGAAGCTAATGTCTACTACTTTGAGCACCTCTTGTAATTCCAGAGGTCAAAGGTAATCTCTATTAATCTCATATCTAAAAAACTTAGTATTAAAATATTTATAGAAGTTTTTCTTTTCTTGAAGTGTATAAATTTATAAATGCAAATACATTTTTGGATATATATATGTATGGCAATCATTCTAATATTTCATCTTTTATGCAGATTTGAGAACTTTTTTTCATTATTTACTAAACAGTTGGTAATTTCTGTTTATCTGTGCTAATAAAACTGAATTTTGTTCAATATTTTCTTTTATTTTAAATTTAGAGATTTTGATTAATATGCAATAACTGCACATATTCACGGGATGCAGTATAGTATTTTAAAACATGGGCCTAATATGTATTGATTAATTCTGGCTAATTAACCAAATAGAAATCTCATCATGACTTTGCATTTGTAGAATTCAAAGTGCTCTCTTTTGATTACTCTCAATGTATTTAACAAGAGACTGAGAACTGTACTCACCACTCTGTGCTGGAGAAATTCAGCGCTTACTGCTTTTTTTTTAAAACAGTTTTTGGCACCTGATAGGTAATGTCTTTCTTCTTACAACACTTTGCAGCTTCTAGTCATTACTCTTTACTTTCTGATCAACTTGTTTTATCCTCCACATAGAGAGAATGTGCAGCACTTTCCCTTACATATTTGACTTTGTCATCAAACACAGTGTCCTCCTGTTCTATACATATTGCTGCAAAGCACAGGATTTCATATTTTATTTTTATTTTTTAATTTTTTTCCTCTGGTACTGGGAACCGAACTCACGACCTTGCGCATGCCAGGCAGGCGCTTTTGCTGCTGAGCTAAATCCCCAGCCCGGATTTCATATTTTAAAGGATGTGGATATCAAAGATCTGTATACATTATTATACATTTTATTTCTGCTCTCTTTATTCATTCTTTCCTTTTGTAAAATATCAGCTTGGTTTCCTCTTCCTTGTCTTGGTCACTGATGGGTGAACACAGAGGTTATGTTGGAGCCTTTGCCACTGTGGAATCCTTGTGTTCATCACTACAAGTTTTTTATTCTCACTACTTCTTTCTACTGTATCCCAATAGCTTTCATTTTGTGTTTTAATTTTCATTTTGAAGATGGTATTAAATTCCTTTTTCATTATTTTTTTGATCCAAGAATTGTTTGAAAGTGCATTGTTTGGTATCTATACATCCTTAATCCATGTTCCATTGCAAATAACACAATATCACAAACTGGAAACTAATAATTTAACTAGCCTTCAATGGAGCACATAGTAAAACTGTGTTCTCTGGAGTGGTTCCATGGGGAAGTGGTGAAATGTTTGAAGAAAGAATCTATATCAAGTACAGATAAAAATTCCCTATGATGAATACTATTATGTATATCTAAAATGTAGAATGAAAAAATATGGGTCAGGCTCACTGTCATACCAAGTCACCATCACGGGAGTTACCTGCAGCCCCATGAGAACTACACCCATCCCCTAAAAGGATGGCCACCAGATTACTCAGTTACTGTCATGAGGCTCTACCTCTGAAAGGTCCACCACCCAGCACCACTACAGAGGGGACCAGGCAGCCTACACATTGAGTTTTGGAACAAATTCAGGCCAGGACCAAACCACAGCATCATGAAATCTTAGGTGTGATCAGCGAAGAGTGAACCAGAATCATTTACCAGGAAAGAACAGCTAATTTTATTTTTGTATATAATTTCTGCATTTGCTGCAGCTGAGTTTTATATGTCCTTTTTTGATTTCAAACATTTGTCTTTCAGTATGCCCTATTTCTATCTGTGACAAAGAATAGAAGTTGTTCCAGCCAATGTTAAGGCTCACATCCAACATCTACCTCTTTATCAATATGTTTCCTCAGTAAATAAAAACAGTTCACCATGGAGAAGTGGCTGGCATCAGGTCTGGATTTGATTTGGGAGCATCTGTGAGTGCCCCAAAGTGAGGAAGCTCTCAAGGTACAAAGGGTGTTGGTGTGTGAAAGTGCTCAGCAGTGCGAGTGTGGATGAGTCACAACGCCCAGCAGTGAGCATGTGGACACATCACAGCACTCAGCAGTTAGACTGGGGCTGCATCAAAGGGACACACGGAGGAGAAGCAAGGGCAACTAGAGGACAAACCTGGAACAACTGAAGCAGTAAAATAAATGGAGTACTGGATTCCATTCCCAAATAGATATACATGACTGCATAGAGATGTGAGCCAGAACTGAATAAATAACTGAGAGACAGTGTGTATGAGCAGGTCCGTACAGGTAAATAGTTATTATCTTTATATCTGTGTGTATCTATACAACTATCTACTTGTCTTTTCACCTACCTATTGGTGTGTGTATGTATATATATATATGTGTATAATATGTATATTTTATCAATTTGAGTTTAACAAGTACATAAAAGGATGCAAATTGTGCTTATCATGGATACCTTGCTGTACAGTTCACATATAGTTACCTATTATGTTTTATGAAGATCTACTAGCAAGATGCTTCATGGCTCCAAATGCAGGGAAAGAACATGGAGAGCTAATTAGTCACTTTGATCACTGCTCACTGCATGCGTGTGATAAAACATTTCAGTGAACACTGTTAATAGGTATAGTTGAGAGAGATTGAAAAAAATGATTTCATCTTACTATTGCATTCCCTAATTTGTGCCTTGTGAGACTGGAGGTCAGACTGTGGAGACTGGAGGGCAGATTGTGGAGTCCACATTGCTGGGGTCTCACACTGGGAAGAGATAGATCTGGGCTCTGATCTCCAGCACCACTTACCCCTGCAATCTCATGCATAATCCCAGACCTCAGAATGGAAGCTGTCAGGTGGGTTGTTAAGGGGACTTAGTCTCCAAGACAGGGATAATGTCTCAGTCATCAAGGAGGTTTCTCCTTTTGTGAACCACTGAGAGTGCAGATTGATTGCCAAGAATTGTGAATGTTGTTGCTCCAGTGAGATAGAAAATGTGTCACATAAGCTACAATCTGCCAATACTGACCAAAAAATTGACAATTCAGAAATATGTGACAGCCCTTGAAGATCAGTCACTAGCCAACGCATGTGAAGCAAGGAACAGAGTGGGCTCTTTTTTTAAAACCAGTTATACTTTTCCAGTTCTGAGGATGTTCATGCTCATCAGTGTTCTCCAGCGATGTGGGAGTCTATAAGTCTAGGGTGTCCATGCAAAAGCTTGCATCTCTATGTGAAAATCAAGGCTTTGTTGCTGAGTTCTATTTTAACAATGCTAGAAACTGAGACACCATGTGAGCAAAAGTATCTGTACCATGCTAAAATTAAAGTGTGTGCTTCTAATAGTGAACACATTTCCCTTCCATAGAGACATGTCAGATTCATACTCTTAAATGCACTTCACATGGAGATAGGGAAACCCAAGTCATGTGAGTCACTTAGGCCCTTTTAACTTATCATAAAATCTTGTGTCAGTGTAGGTTTACTCCAAACTGAAGATCTTTGCAACATTTTGTTGCTGCACAATATTTTGGGCTATCCATGTTTTTAAAATGAGCTTAGGAAAATGGAAAGGGATTTGAGTTGGAATCCTTCACTTGAGAGCATATATAT